TTTTATTTGCCACTGAAAATGCTGCGACTAATTCTGCTTTCTAGATGCATACATAACATAGGCTTTGTTGTGCATTGTTTTAAAGATCTTCATCTGATGCAGATTGATCAGATTGATAAGATTGGCATCTGAAACCCAGTCCCTAAAAGCTGGGGACGTCGTCCACTACCGATCATCCTGGCCTGGCTTTGTCCCACCTTACGTAGGCGACATTACCTTAGCTCACGAGCACCTCACCCCCATCTGTGGTCCCCTGATTCACAGGGCTGAGTTAAGTGATTGCTAGTTGCTGTTGCCATAGATCCGCTTTGTCTTCATCTTCATCTCACTATCTTGTTGTTCCAACCGAACAGCTCGTAGAGTCCATGTCTTGCATATGCACCCCCCTACATGTAAGCTATCGTGATTCGCTCGAGTTGACCATTGAGGGTTGTCACTCGAACAGATACTTTCATCTCGGCGTCAAGGCTATTGTGTCACAGCCTCAACTTGACCGATTGTTCTATTGTATTCTCACAGCACGTTCGATTTCAGCTTGCAGACTCCTTTGTCTAGTGTTGATGTTGTTTCCTTGAATACCTGACCGTCACGCCAGCGACAGAGCCAATGAAGGAGACCTATCTCTTGAAGCTTTCTCATTTGATCTCCCCCCCGGAACCACTTCTAGATCCCATAAGGTTCATGTTCGTTGCTTTGGGACTTCGTGAAAATGTCTATGTCTTTGTTCAGTCAACCACTGATGGTATTCCCAAGCCGCGCTCCTTTCGTCATAGTAAACTACTGATGAGGTTTATCAGCCGAGAACTTGTTTGGTAACTCACTAACAGTATCATTACGATAGCCTTTGCGCAAATATGTTATGAATCAGCCGTCACCAGCTGTCCGTGAAACTGAGCATTAGTCTCCTTTGTTGAGATGATGGGGATGATGACTAAAAGTGAAAGAGTCCACTTGTGTGCCTTATCGTGCATGATATGATCGCGAGCTAAGAACCTGGAGGGTGTAGACGCAGACGGATTACTCCATCGTGATACAGTCAAGTCAATAAGTTACACAGCACGTGTGTATTAAATCTTCGTTTAAAGGGCCTAAACTGCTCATCTTTGTTGGTCTTTGACTAAGTAGGTAGGCATGCGATCACATGTTCAAAGTGATAACCCTTACCAACTCGTTATTTTGTGTATTGTCTTACTGAAGTCATTGCTCGGCCACTCCTGTGCAAGCTTTAAGTTAATTGACAATATATACTGCGAGAACGATATATATCTTCCCTACAACTTACAGAAGACAGGAGCTCTATATATCGCTCATGAAAAAGTGGCTTTACAGATCAAGGAAACACTACACTCCCTGGACTAGACGACTTGCCCATATCTGAGCGGGCCGGCGCCGAGCCGATATACTTGCTTGACTGCAGGCATTGTATCGAATTCTGTAGACTTCCACAAAATATTTATATTGATTCTTCTAGCGTTGCAGACTGATGGTGGAGGGTCAACACCAGAGGACCTTGTAACGAAACATCGTGTCCTTCCGAGGTATACAATACTATTAAACCCCTTATTTGTACTCCTAAAAGCCATCTCGGGCTCCCAATATAAAGAAAGTAACTTATGGTCATGCTTGTGTATCCAATGCCAACCAGGTTCGCAGTTGCACTAAGCCACTACCAGGGGTGAGAGTCTCCGTACCTTTAAGTTGTGATAGTACCTGGACATGATGTAATGTGAGACACTGAACAGCTCTTATCCATAGAGTGACTAATCATAAAGGTATGCTCCGTGATACAAAATAAATCACTGCATGAAGTCAAAATACTTCTCAAACGCCAACCAGATATCGAGGAATTTGTGTTGAGCCCCATGTTACTCCGACCTACAAGTGCCGTAAGTGGGCGCAACTAGCTCCGAGCCTGGCTTCAAGACAACTGACGTCAATATCCTGTTTTACCAAAAACATTTTCTTCGTATCAAAGAATTAGATTTGGCCTTATGTTACCGTAGCCCTCCCTGTCTTACTCTCTGTCACGAGGATGACCTTCAATTGCGCGACCTGCAAACCCCGCCGTAGTAAGCATTCTCTTTACGGATAGATCTGCACAGTCAGCGGTCAAAGCCAAGCCAAAAGTGAGCCTTGAGTCTCGGTACTTGTTATCACGAACAGATCAGTTCCTTGGCTGTTTAGAGACACAGACTCAATATATTTCTTCCATCGAGATCTTGATCATTGCAGTTGACTGACACTGGGCTTATCGTCCTCCCAGCCACCTCTATCCGGCTCACCTTCACCCCGCACTCAGCACTATCTTGGCCCTTTTTAAACTTACAGCATCAAAGAAGCTGGGCTGCATCCTTTAGCTCAGCCATTGGATGGCATCATGGTGAGCTGACCTATCTCATCACTTGCCAGCCCTCCATGGCTTTATCGTGTTCCCCCGCCCGCCCCCAATGCCAGCCTTGTTGGAGGAATGTCAACGGAATGTCGCGAGGAGTTTCTGTGCCGCTGTGACAAGGCGTTGGCTACTTGTACATGAACCTCGGTCGTGTTAGAGCTGCATCAGGCGTTGGGTGGATGGATGACGGTCAGTTGCAGATGTAGCTGCAGCTTGTTCTACCATAAGCTACCTACCTACCTATCTATGGCCCTCACACCTCTTTTGAGCCGAGCTTGGGTCTTTGCCTCTCTTCTCTTTCAATTGCCTCTCACCTCTTCGTGGTGAAGTAAGAGCTTCACTTTGATTCTCTACTCATAGTTGAACCCTCCACTGTATTGTCGTATAAGACGCAGCCTTCAATATGATTATGTTCAAGCTCTTCGCAGCTTTACCTCTCGTCCATGGCGTTATTGCACAATCCGCCGGCACTGGAGAAAAGGTCTGGGCTGCCGTCGCATTCATCAACCATGGCGAAAGGACGCCCGCAATAGCCAATCTTCGCACCGTCTTGACACCTGAGGGAGCTCAGCAGATGCTGCGACAAGGCACTGCGTTCCGTGCTCGATATATCCCAGACGGTGTGAACAACTCCGACTATCAGAGCATTCAAATTGCTTATCTCCAGAATCTCAAACCTGATGTGATTGACAACGACGACATTGACATTATTACCCAGACAGATGAATGGGTATCGACTGGTGCTTTGGCCTTTATGCAGGGTTTCTACCCGCCATCACCGAATGCCTTTGATAACAGCACTGGAGGCGAAGAGATTGCCGTGAACTTGGCTTCTAGCGATAACAAAACTGAATATCCCTTAGACGGATATCAATACCCCAGTATTCGAGCTCCTGGTTACTACGACCCAGAGTCAACAGCGTATGCTTATTGGCCTCTCCCTACCTACATTAACTAACACAATACAGAATACAAGGCACTTATAGGTGTTCAGCATGGCAGACAGAAATCACCACAAACCTAACGCAGGAAACCGGTCTCGATGAGCTCTATGATTCAACTCTGCCTTTCTATCAAAACCTCTTCTCTACTGCTCCATTTGATGGCACAATTGACATCGACTATGCCAATCTCTGGAACGCCTACCAGCTCTGGGAATTTGTCGATTATCAGTATCGACACAATGAGACAGTTCACGAGGGTCTCAACAACGCAAACTCAACGCTGTCTTTCCTGAACACTTATGCCTTGTCCATGGAGCGCGCACAAAACAGCTACCGCGGTTCAGACGACGACAGCGAACTTGGTTCTCTCTACTCTGTCGCTGGCCGAACCATGGCGTACAAAGTCGCATCGCAGTTTAAGAGCAACATTCGCTGGGGAAGCAGCTACAACAAACTCACACTCATGTTTGGCTCTCTCGATCCCATCGTGAGCTTCACTCAACTCTCAGGTCTTGTCACACAAGACAACATGTTTCAAGCGCCTTGGTCAACGCTTCCCAAGCCTGGCGCAGCATTGGTCTTTGAGCTTTTTGGTGAAGACCCAGATGATCCTGATCGCCAACCAGCCACGGACAGTCTTCGTGTGAGAATGTCCTACCGTGCTTCAGCAGACCCGGACGAGTCTTTCCAGAACCAGCCCATCTTCAAGTCTGGTCCTGATGGCATCGCATACTCGAGTTTCATACAGACTATGAACAACCTTGGAATATCGCCTAACCAGTGGTGCGACGTTTGTAGCCCGACACCTGCTCCTTGGTGCATCACCATCGACTCGGATAGCTCCAACTGGGGAGATGACTCTTCCATTGGGCCAGTCATCGCAGGGGTTATCGGCGCAATTATTGCGATCGCTGTTCTGGGTGTTCTACTCCTTTGCCTGTGTGTCTGTGGCGGTCTTCGGCTACGTCGCAAGGGTCCTGAAGACTCAACACTCGGCGCCGCTGCTGTAGGAGGTACCACAGGAGGCTTCAAGGGGCCAGAAAAGAAAGATGGTGATGCGGATGTGGTGGTGACAAAGCAAGGCATTCACCATGAGCGCGTCGGTAGCTGGGAACTTCGAAGTCCAAGCGAAATACCTCCTCAGACTTCTGGAATCGTGACCAAGGATATAGGTTCTCCTCCTCAGAGACGATCGTTGGATGACAGCGACGACGACATCAGCGTTATGAATGCGGCACCCGTGAAGGCTCGCGAGAGTGTTTGAGTAAGTATGGGTGCGTGAATAGGGAACTATATGGAGGAACTTGCATGCATGGTTATACCCTTTGATTCTTACAATCGTTCGAGCTATTGATACCTACTGGGATGGATTTTACAGGCGTTGGTATTGGGGAATTTTCGTAGACACTCGTTTGGAAATATTGATCATTGGCCATATGTGGCATCAACTGAAAGGACTGTTACTATATAACTGGTAGTTCAAATTCACTGAACTGAGACTATCACTTGACCATAGACTGAGGTTGGACATTGCATGACAAGTGAATGGTTGGATGTCAAGAACAATATCACGATTTTTGTTGAAATAGTGATATCCAGACATCTTGGTTTAGTAAAATGACAGTATGGATGTTTATCCAAGGGGTATCTATATCCCACACGCCTCACACAATAACAAACTCCTCCTCTTCAACCCCATCAAGGTCAAAAATCTCCCCATTCATCATCCCATGTACATAGCACTCCCCAACAAGTATCCACGTCTCATCATCCTTTCTCCTTAGCAAAAAGGGTGTTCTACCTCCATACAACACAACAACCACATCCCCTGCTTGCATAATATCCGGCCCAACAACAAACCAACCCCCAAAAGTTATCGCAAAACCTCGATACCGCGTAACAAGCGTTGCTTCATGGCTCCACTTGAACCCATCTCCCGTCTGCGCAAGCTCTTGTATCTCTGATGAAACAGCACCAGGTCTATCCAGTGCGCGGACAAGATACGCTGCACCGTTGGCGAGCCACTCTTCCTTGGGAATGCTCTCATATGGCCGAGAGCGATCTGCTCCGATGCATGCGTTTGTAAGTGTTTGCACAAGGGCGAAGAATGCTGTGTCGCCGTTTCGATAACGTTGTCGTAGGTTGAAGGGTTGGTTTCTACCACAGATATCTCGCCATAGGGCTTCGATAGGGAGGCGAAAGGGGTTGTTGCGACGGAAGTGGAAAGCGTTGTTCCAGAAGATCCACGATGGTCGACGGATACGATCTAAGCGAACGCCGTAGATATGGAGAGCTCTTGTCTCTTCGTTGATGCATAATTGAGGTCGATATTCCCCCGATGCTCTATGAGGAGTCACGGGTGTACCCATGAGATGGAGAGGCACAACACGCCAGTCTGGAACCCAAGTTGGTAAATCCCCCCTCTCCATGATTCGCTTCTTGTAAGTAACTGGTATAGCATGGCAAGCAGACAAAAGCAGAAGTGATTCGCACCCAGAGAGTTCTCTGACCGCAACGTCATAATAGATATCTTCTATCGATCTGCTATAATCCGCCACCAACTCTGCAAGGCTCGAACTGCCAGTATGGATGGAGAAGTGGCCAAGAAAAGCGTAGACATGGTCTCGGGGGTCTTTTGACAATAGATGCCTTGCGCGGTGAAGTTCGTATATGAAGGCTGCGCGGTTATGGTTTACATCGTATGCCTCCTCTGGCTCAACGAAGCGTTGATACAAGTAACGGATGTTAGGTGTGAAGACAGCGAATCGTGAGCGTAGGAAGTGATAAGTCGTATTCAGGATGCCTGCAACTGATGACAGGATCTCCCAGTCAATCTCTGCATCGCCCCAGTAGAGAGTCGCAGGTGCTGCTGTTCCTATTTCCTGAACAATCCATATACGATTAAACTATTCTCGTTAGTATAAGGCTCTCCAGTGTCTACCATAGACTCACCCATGGTAGCCTCGATAGATTCGAGAACGGCACCCAAGGCTTTCTATCTTGGCTCAACAAATCTTCTGAATGAGCTCTTTTGAATTCATTATGCAGTTCCTCATCATTAAACACTCCATGAAGGTAGTGAACCATCTCCGTAGCCGCCTTCCCATGCCCTACCTTGTCTTCTCCAAGCCATACCAACACATGCTTCGCTCCCTTGTAAATAGCGTTCATCAGACTGACTTGTTGACTTCGTTCAGCAATATCGTCCTGATTGATGCAGACTTGATCCGCCCACAAGCGTCGCTGGGTAGTTGCATGTCTCATACGGCGTAGAGCGCCCTCAATGCTCTCCGTTAATGGCAGCGGTTTCCCATCGCATATAATCTCAGAGGATCGACCACCTGTTCCCCAGCAATATGAGATGGCTTCATATTCTGGGCTTAGATCAAGATTCTCAAAGCCGAGATGACCGACTAATGGGTCATTGCCCGTACCAGGCTCAAGAGTGAGAATGCGGATTGTAAAGTTATCTATGAATGGTGTATAGACATATGACTCTGGAGCTGTCGGTATTGAAGGCTGGGCAGCATCGGCCATGGATGGTAGTAAAGACACAGTCGAGCGATGAGACTTGACTTTGAGAAGAGTCCTAGAATGAGATGTTGAACGTTGATGGTGAGAAATGTTATGCAGACCGAAACTTGGAGGCCCAGTTCTTTTAGATCGCTTTCGCGAAACTTCAACTGGCGGCGTAGAATTAGTTTCTTTGTAGATCGTCAAATCACTAGTATGAGCTCTTTTTCGAAAAGCACGTCGACTCATTAGTCGAACTGGAGATGTAGACTTAAGGGACATTGCAATTATCACTGAACTAGAAACGGAATGATACGGTACTTAACAGAACCAACGAACGGTTACTAACCTGCAACACAGCCACTCATCATGGTTCCCTTTGCGGAGATCCATGCAGGCAGTCTTTGCAAGCAGTAGTAGGGTCAGCGCTAATGTCACGTTAGAGACGCAAGATGGTATGCAAGGCATAGTACAGAGTACATCACGTAGAAATAGCACAGATCATGTTGGCCTTCAATGTTTAATTTGTGATATCGAGCGGCGGTAGGCCTTTCTATCTAACTATACACAACTTTCCTGTGTCATCAATCGTTCCAAGTAGGAGATAAAAACAAAATAGATAATGCGATAACACCTCGCATGGGCGATTCATCCTTTGTGCCAGTAACGCCTTATCCCATCCCAATCCGCTGGGAATCCCAAAGTTACAAATAAGAAAGTAATGAAGCGCTTAGTGCATGTCCTTTTCCCATTCCCCACTGTCCATTAAACCACTCTTTACATGTCCATGGTAAGAAGTTCTAACCTTGATGTAACGGCGTCACAGCTGGCGCTGATACGTTGCACGCGAGCCATAGCCAAAGCAGCGATACACTCTTCCTCACCGGCATCGACAAGTTCAAGACGGGCAAGCACCTTTTCGGACTCAACACCGCCAAAGATGTCAACATGCGATAGACCCTCAGAGTCAAACTCCTTGGGTTGCTCGGTGGTGGTGGTAGCGGTCTCAGTGTGGAACAGGGCGAATTCAGGGTCAGATTCAAACTCAAGGTCGATAGGGGCGGCGTCAACAGGCTCAGAAACCTCGGGCTTCTCAACAGGACGCTCAATGGCGGGCACCTCAAGCTTCTCCTCCTCAGAGTCGAAGATGGGCTCAGCGAAGTTGGAGGTCTTGCCAGAAAGAACAGAAGCGTCAATAGCATCAGGAAGCTCAGGAGTGTCGACAACAAAGACTTGAGGCTGGAAGTTGAAAGAACCATCAAGAGTGAGCATGGAGAAGTCCATGTTCTGCTCAGGGATCATGGCCATGCCAATCTGGTGCTGAGAAGACTGCTGAGCATTGTAGGGGTTGATGTCCTTGGGCACCTGTCGCTGCTCGGGTTGAGGCTCGACCTTGAGTTGAGGAGTCTGCTGAACAGCGGTAGGGTTGCTGCTGAGGTTGTCCAAGAAGTTGGAGAAAGAAGGCGAAGAGAGCAGCATGCGGGTGAGGTCAGTCAGACGCTTGTTCTCGTCAACGAGAGCACGGTTCTGAGCACGGAGGTCACCGTTCTCGCTGACCTTGTTGGCAATCTCAGTCTCAAGCTGAGTGATGTATTCTGAGACATTATTAGCAAACTGTTTCAATTATTTGTGGCGGAGCAAACTTACCCTTTCTGCGGGAACGGAAAGCACGAGCGGACACCTTGTTGCGAAGCTGTCGTCGCTCCTTGCTGCTGAGCTTCTTGCCCTCCTCACTAGCCAGGAGGCGCTCATCCTCATCCATCTCCTCTTCGTCCTTCTTGGATCGGGGGAGGTTGGCCATGGGGCTGGTAGCCTGACTCTCGGGCATTGAGGGCTTGGCTCGCATAGAGTTCAGGAGCTGAGTAATCTTCTGCTCAACAATGGGGTCGGTAGGCTGAGGGGCCTTGCCACGAGACTTGGGCTGCGATGCATGGCGCTGAGCCTGTTGTTGTTGCTGAATGATCTGCTGCTGTTGTCGCTGTTGTTGCTGAGCCTTGGCAAGAGCGGCTTGGGAGTGAGCGCCAGGCCAGAGACGGCCATTGTTCTGTGTAGGCAAAACGGGTGGTGAAGGAAGACCAGCGTTCTCTTGCTCAATGCTGCTAGGGTCGACAGTGAAAAACTGTTGTGTCTCGGTCTGCGACTCGAAATCCATATCCATATCCGACGCACCCAAAGTAGCCTGCGAAGGAGATGTGTTGAAATCAAACAGATCAGCCTCGGGGCTGAAGGTGGTTAGGTAGTCGATGTTGCGGAAGTCTTGGTAGCCAGTGTTGTTGGTCTGGTTAACGGCCATTGTGTTGGCGATGGCACCGGGCACAAAGCCAGTCTGCTGTCTGTACATGTCATAGTTGTGACTGGGACCGCTCAGACTCTGGGCAGTTGTGGTGGCGGGAGCAGCGACAGCGGCTGAGATAGGGCTGGCGAAGGTAGCCTTTGATGTTCCTGATGGTGATACTGAAGTAGCAGGAGATTGGAAGTTATCGTACTCGGTAAGATCGAGGAGAGCGTCGATGTCGACGGTATTCTGGCCAGGACCCGACATATTGTTGGAATCAGTTCGGCGATACCGGAGGATGTAGTCTTTGGTGATGAGTGAGAGATTGAATTCGTCGCCCAAGTGATGATCAGTGAAAGACTCGAGTATTGTCGCGATAGATTCAAGTCTGTTGTGTTGTCTTGTTTAGAAGATGATTGAAAAGTAGTAGTTGTTGAGAGACGGAAGTTCTGTAACAGAAGCGATTGTTTGGAAGTTGAGAAGGGGAAAGATGGAACCAGGCAGAAAATCGGGAACTGGGGAGGGACCGTGTTCTATGAATGGGGTGGGTGCCTTGGTCGGCGGTACGTACCCGCCGGGTCCGACAACAAGATCCCCGGCGTGTCAGGGAGGAAGAGACTGGTGAAAGCCACTGAAGCCCACTTTGGTAATCCACTATAAACATGCTCAAGGCCCCCAACTTCAGGGACTCGGCCCCTGAATTGATTCCATTCGAGCGCTATGAGCCGCTAGATCCAGGTCTCTCTGTCAGGTAACGCCGGCCGTTGTCAGGGCTGACCAGGGAGCAGGGATGGATCGGCGGCCGGGAATCCGACTAGTGAGGGAGAGGAGTGAGGACGCGTCAGCTCTTTTCTTGGGTTGTGCAAGCCAAGGGTGGAAGCCAAGGGCCAAGGAGGTGGATAACTCATCGAGGCAGCGCCGTAACTCTAGAGGCCAATCAAGATGAGCCTCTGACGACCGAGCCTCTCAGAAACAGCAGCGAGCGTATCCCTGTTTCGCCCTCCGAGGGGTGCGGAGCGAACAAGGTGCGAGTCTTTGCGAGCCTTTGCGAGAGTCTAGCTCCAACAAAAGAGCGAAACGAACGACCAGAGACGTCTGCGGCCTGAGGATGACGACGCTCAACTGCCCCTTTGGGACAGGCTTGGTGCCAAAGAGCCCATGATGGAGGCATGGCGCTGGTCTTTTTGGCTCCTCAGAGTCTCATGGCTCGTCTTTGGCTGCGCTTTTTCGTATGCATTTCTGGTCCATCGTCGACTTCACCTGCAGATGCATCTACGAGCTTACGTCTCTCATCCTGTGAGGCTTCGTGGCCTGGGCTCAATCTGGTCAAGCCTCAGGTTGATTATTCTTCTGCCTGCGTCTGAATACCAACGTCCCCTCCTGTTTGAGGTTATCAAGCTTGATGCAGACAAAAAGCACGGCTAAACAATTCCTCCGCCCAATAGTTTTGTGATAAGGGAAGATCAATCTCTTCGTCACCGTTAAATCCGGCGGCTGCTCCAACCGGACGGCAAAGCGGCAGCCCATCGCTATCGGTTATCATGGCTGGAATGCTCGTCAGCAAACTTGCTACAAGAAGCCTCGGACCATTGATGTGTGAACTCTGCAGACTGGAGTGCAGGTAAACAACAAATACCAGCCAATTCACTGATCAGCGTTGGCGGATACTGAAACTTGTCTTCCGTCCGACCCGAGCGTGGCTGTACAAAACAATGGAATTGTGCCCTTACACTGGCTGGTATGCTTTCCAAAGCTTGTCTCCTGCTTCCAGAGTCCACTATTACGATGCTCAAGTATAGCTATATGCAGCTACTTTTCCTCAAGCGATGCGTTGCCAACTCAGATCATCAGGGAGGATTCGCTGATCTGATTCATTTCCCTCGATTCTTTGCTCATTTCAATAAGAAATGAACAGCCAAGGTCTTGCCTTACCGTAAAGACACTGCGGGGATGACCATCACCATCAATATCATCTATCGACTGCACTGCCACCGCCTTCATATCCCAAAATCCCACCACCGCAAGCACAGTCCATTTCAGAAGCCTGAAGAGTCCCCGAGTCCATCCCACCGTTCACTTTTCCTCTTCTGCTCTAACTACGCTGCTGGCTGCTCCATCTCTCACTGCTCGCTCTTTATTCCTGTTTGCTCACTGTCTTCTACTGTGCCACGCTGCTATAATCGTGTAAACCCACACAGTAACATCAGCGGGCACCCATGAGGCTGTGTCATCAGAGAGTTGGAGTCTTGGCTTCCCAAGTAAGCTCAATGATCGTCGTTCTTGCGATGATTTGAACCACTCATCTTCTCTGGTGGTCTCCGTCGTGCCACAAAGAATGACATCGGGTGTTAATAACGCCGTTATGCCGTTGCCAGGCTCTAGATGTTGAAGGCACCGAGCAATCTTCGGCGTTTACAGTGCTGCTAGTATCCGTACGGGACGGATCTGTGTTGACATCCAAGCCTCAAACCTGGTTTGTTTTTTTCGCCACTCCCCAGCCAATGAGTGTTGGATTCCCGTGACAAGACAACCCGATCGACAGTCTCGACAAAAATAGAACTTCCCAGTTTGTGGTCGCCCTGGCGCTGGCTCAACTGCCGCCCTGATTATCTTCTCCACTGCCCCTGACGATGATGGACAATGACACAAGAGGATACGGCGTTTGCCGTTATTATGAGTTTCATCAAACACGCTTTGCTATGCATCAACCGAGACTTGTTTCACAAAACGACGGTTCTCCTTTCGTCGACTGTGGTTCCGTCACTTCATCCCACATACCGGAAGCCTCGAACAAGCTTTGGCTAGGGGTTTCTGCCGTGGCGGGAGTCTCGAATTATGGTCGATCGACTGATTATCGGTACCAGGCTTGAAACATCTGGTTCACGTTACGGCCTCGAGAATTTACCCCTTTTGGGCTTATTCATTGAAAGCTCAGCCATCTACAATTTCTGATCTAATTTCTGATCTGAAGTTCTTGATTCAACCTTGTGCCAAGACATCGCTTTCGCTTTTCTCAGATCTAATACAACTGCCGGCGGTGATGGGAGCTTAATCTTGACGATCCTGGCCATTTCAGCATTGATAAAATTTCGCATGGTTTAAAGAGCACAGCCCATGCAAATTATTAGCCACTTTGGTATGCTGGTCTCGGTATCGCCTAGGTCTGAACTTTTCCAGAAGCTAGATCGTTAGCGACTTCAGTTCCGAACCGCAAGCACATAGCCTCTGCCAAGACCGTGATAAGGCAAGAGGCGATGAGGCTTCAAAATTGTCCTTACTGTAATAAAAATAGCTCCATGTGAATGTCGCTTGCGCCTCGATGAATTCGAGATCAAGACGATTCAAGGTCACATGCTTAATCACGTGTTCTTAACACGTGACCATGAAATTTGCCAGCACGTGATTGGCTACAACCTGCCTCTAGTTTCAGCCTCTTGAGGCCATCCATCAATGGCCCCATTCGCCTGCATCTGCATGCATTTGGAGAACGTCGTTGGAGCCTTACGTCCTACAACCGTGCGCGCCCAACTGCACTCGCGCCTGAACAGTCGTGTCTGACATATTCCTCGCCCGGCCAAAGTGTCGAACTGGAACGCGCTTATCGGTTTGTATATACCGTGTCTGTCTATCTATCTGTGCCTTGTTGCAACTCGTGAAAGATTGAAACAGTTTCGGCCGTCACATTCCGTTGTTGCATCGCATTGCATAGCATAGCAGAGTATTGCGCAGCATCGCATCGCGACAGCCTATTCTTTTTGCTTGTGTTCTCCAACTTTGAAGATACGGCTACCATCCAAGCTTGCACTTGCAAACAGGTACTGCAAAGAGCATCGTCCTCTGCAAACATATCGCGTTCTACTAGGCCTCAGAAGGTCCTATCAAGTTGCTATTTCAGTTCCCTCGTCGGAACATATCAACTGAAACTCTATCACTCGCCACTATGGTAAGCTGACCACAGCCGTACAAAATGGGGAGAGAAAAACGAAACCTGCCCGCGGCTGTGGCAGGTGGCCCAAAGGAGAGGCATAGGCGTGCACAAAGATCTCAGTATGATCATACAGCACCTGTTCCCCCTGGCTTTGTTGCCAAACCAGCTCTTCCAAAGACAACCAAACATCACTCGTACTTCGAGTTTGTTGAAAACAAGGACAAGAAAAAGAAGCTTGAATTCCAGGTATAATGCGACTGTTGCGCAACGAGGTCATCACAACACTCACCACCATGTATAGATCACTACAAAAAAAACACCCCCTCCTGGTTTCGAGTTTGTCCCTGCCGGCAACCCTGAACTAACTCAAGCATGCAAAGAACTGTCCCGAGAAAAAAATGCCATGATATTTATCGTATCGGTATGCAAAACACAGATGTATTGGTCTGGGCCGTCCATTACTAACCTTGCCTCATGAAGAACGCAAAAGAAGCATCCGGCTCAAATATCTTGGCTCACCAAGTCCATCGCATTGGACATCATGTTAGAGAAACAATCGTCGAGGAAGCCCGCGCCGGTCTAGGTCATGTCATGGAGAACATGCTTGCAGCCCCTAGCGGTATTCCCGAGCCCATCCCCGAATCTCAAGAGGAATACGATGCACAAGTTGACGCTGCCTTACGCGATCTGTTTCCCAGAATCCCAAACACCGATCGACGGATGATCATTGAACATGCTTTTAGACGGGTTTGTTCTCCTCCCTGACACCTTCGTACAGACAAGGTATTTATTATTATAGGATCCAACGAACAAAAACAACAAGGAAAAAGTAGGCCTTTCGGAAGATATAACACTCGCCCGGAGGGTTCAACTTGCAGTCCTCGCTCACATTCGCCATACTCACACGAGATATGACACTCTGCTGAGGGAGACCACATGGCAGAACGCTCGCAAAGTTGTCGAGGCCCTTTGTTTAGACACCCTCGTCAAGTGGCGAGGAGATGAGGAGAGCGGTCGGGACCAGCTGGATGAGATATTGAGGGAAGTCGTCGTAATTTCTGACTCAGAAGGTGAGGAGTCTGGCAACGAGTCTGACTCATCAATCGAAGAGGTGGTGTATCAGTCTACGAATCCCGTTCCCAGTAGGCCTGTACCGAATATCTCTGGCCAGCCTGGTGCCGGCCACCTACAATCTCCCAGACTTAACCAGGGCTCACGAACACCCGCCACGCCCAAGCCAAAAGGAAAGGTGAAGAAAAGAAAACGTAAGACTTCCGCAGAGAAGAAAGGACAGCGCGGATTCAAACGGTACCAAGCTGCATGGCAAGACGCCATTGACAGAAGCCGCAATGTACAAGAGCCAGCTCCCCAATCTCCCCAAGGGCCCTCCCCTCAGTATACCCGTGGTCCGCCGCCGCCTGCGGCTCTGGTTCCCTTGAGCGATGAATTGCCTGCTCCATCCCAGCTCAGAATTGTTTCTGGAGGTGCGGGACCTGCACCTTATGAGAACGGTTATGTTGGGAAACCTCAATATCCCGCAAATGGCCATTTTATAAGTTCAGGGCCACAAGTTGCCCGCAAGGTAAAGTCACCATTTTATGACGCGCCACCTAGCACTCATCCGCCTGTGTCGAGAGTGGCCGATCGACTACAGGACATGTTGGTGCAGTCCATTGAGCCAGCGTCTCCTGATACTATGAAACCGTCTTTTGTGCGTGCAGTACCCCCTCGGGGACAAGGCTTCAGAAATGAGCCCCCTATGACCACCAGTATGCAGCATCCAGTTATCATATCTTCTCCATTGCGAGGCCCTGTTACAAGAGGCGAGCCCATGGAAATATCACGACCTGTAATGGGTGAACCGTTGGTTCATGGAGATAGGCCCTACCAAATCTCTGGTCACGATCCCTCACCACCCCGTGGTCACATGTTCGATGCCCCTGCGCATCACTATAATACCAGATCTCATGGATTACCTGCTCCTCCGGCTTCTTTGGGTCCTTCACATCGTTATGATACAAGATCGCGCGGAACACAGAACAACCCAGCGAGGATTTTAGTAAGTCGTCGGCCATATGACGAGCCACAAAGACCGGGAATTCGTGATACCCCAGTTGTCATGGAAGATCGTGGTGGGTTCTATGAACGAGTCCCAGTTCATCCAACTGGAGACTTGCCATCATCATCTCGTGATGAAGCAGGGCCTGGCTTTAGACTTGCTGCGGAGCCATATAGAGTTGCAAGGGAGCAACAGGCGGGCCCTTGGCAGGAGAACTCCCGGCTAGTACCAGGCAACAGAACCAACACAGACATTGAGATGGTCCCCATTAATCGCGTGTCTCTGGAAGATCGACATCGCCCTATCGTAACGGACAACCGAGCCGGACCAGCTCATACCCCTGTGTCTTCAGGAGCTCGAGGTGATATTAGAAGTTACTTTGAGCGAGACCCTCGTCCAGTCCGTTATATTCCACCTGGCCCAGAGCCTCGTCCGGTCATAAATGAGCCATTGGCTCCAGGTTACGAACCGTACCGCGAGGTGTAAGCAGAGCGTGGCTCGTCAAATCAGAAAGACACTAACACGATATAGACGTTACGAAGAAAGAGTACCCGATCCTTTTCAACATCGAGAGCCAGTGCATCGATACTACCGAGAAGAGCCCGTTGTTGAAGGAGACGGACGACCTCGGCCTCTACACCCGCGTCGAATGGAGGATGTAATTGTGCTTGAGTAATGCTGCAAGATGATTTGGAGAATTGCAGATACTGTTTGTTTTGCTCATGATAATGCATGTGCGTAAAGTATTTGGGCGCGTTGAGCATGGCAACAGGCGTTGGAGGTTACATTGTTGATAGTGCAGTCCGGCAAAAGCGATGGTGATGGAATGAACTTTGGACGATGGCATGATCTGATGATACCCCGATTCGGAGGAAAGACTTGACTACTACAAGAACTAGTATTTCAAGTGTTAGACGTTTGGACGACGCAGGCCTTTTATTTTATATAGTACGAAGATGAACCATGTCCGAATGGACTTCATGATTGCTTGGCTTTTATTTTACCCTAAAACAACCCGTGATCTAAACTCGAACTTGAAAAATAAAACGAATGCCGAAACCTCATGACGCATCGAATGGGTATAACTATGGCATCTAGTTGCGTCCTCTCCTAGGCTTTCCCACGCCAGACACTCCGTGTCTCTTCTCAACACCAAGTCCCTTTCGTCCTGCAGCGATACCTCCTCTTCCACTCTTTCCACCACGCCCGGCTCCTCTACCGCGGAAGCTTCCACGGCTACCCCTATCCCGTCCAGGGCTGATCCTGCTCTTGACTGCCGCAACATCGTTGTCATCCATCTCGAAGTCCTCGTCATCGTCTTCCTTGCTGCGACGGTTGGAGAACTTGAGCTTGCCTCCGCGACCGCGCTTGGCGACATCCTTGCCCTTGAGAGCGGCAACGTAGGCACCAACGCCTGAGGCCTCAGGGTTGGGCTCGTCGACGTCCATGGCACCCTCATCGTCACTGTCCTTGCCGAGGATGAGCTTGCCATCGAGGTCAACCTTGGCCTTGGTGCGTGTGGGTTTGCGCATCTTAACAGGCTTAGTAGAAGAAATGTTGGCCAAGGCCTTCTTGTCGAGCAGATCGAGAGGTTCGTCGTCGTCTTCAACAATATATGTCTTGCCACCCTTGTGGGCCTTCTTCCTTTGCCTAGGAGCCTCATCATCGGATTCACCCTCATCGTCATCAGAGTCACTGCTGTAAAGGGCCTGGTCGTATTCGTTCTCGAACTGGCGCTTGGGCTGAGCCTCGTCGTCGTCACTATCGTCGCCGCCATTCTCACCCTTGGCAGCATCCTTCTTCTTCTTGGAACGCTCCTTGGTCTTGCGGATGTTGACGATCAATTTCTTGTCGTCATCAGGGGTGTTCTTGTGAATATTGTCATAACCAAAGCGACGGACCATGCGCTCCAGAATATGCTTGACCTTGGCCTTGAAGTGACCCTTGTGCTCATGACTCCAGACAATGAGGTTGGGCACGAGAGTCGAGAGACGAGGAAGCATGAGCTCGACAGGGAGGCCAATAACGCAGACCTTGACGAAACCCAAGCAGCTCTTGACGATCTCTCTGTTATTGGAAGTAAGGAAAAGATCCATGGTCTGGACCAAGTCAGATAAAGTAGCGTCGCTCAATTCGCTTCGGAACTCATATAGAAGTCGGCTGATGGCCGTAATAGAAGCTGAAATCATGTGAGGTGTGCTGCCAGCCAAACCAGCGCTGACCATAGTGAAGAACTCCTCGATATTAGCGGTTCCAGCGGGGGCATCGTCGGGCATATGAGGAACCTTGCTGTTGTCGATGGGTGTTCCATTAGCCTGGACCATGCGGTGTCCCATGCGAACCAGGAGCTCATAAGCTGTCTCACGAGCACGCTCATTGTTCTCCTTGCAGGAGATGACAACTTCACTGAGCACAGCAGGAATGAAGTGAAGGGAGGTGTCGGGAATGAAAGGTAGGAGGGCGATAATGGCAGCAAGGCGCTCTCGTCGAGCAGGAGCTGAGACCTTCTCGGTACTAGAGACGATAAGTTGCTGGAGCTCAGCACTTCTCTCCTGAAGAGCAGCCTTTCCGATCTCAGAGTCCGCTAGACGAGGGATGAGCTTGTATGCCTTCTTCTGAAGTTGAGGCTCCTCATCCTTGTTGATGATGACTTCGGCAATCTTGAAAAGAGCGGCGAAGCTTTCCCTGGGAAGATAAACAGACATTGTGATGACGAGATCCATCAATGTCTGGGCTGTTGAAGGCATGTGATCCTTAGACTTCTGGTTCTCTTTCTTCTTGTCTGCTGGCTTCTCCTTCTCTAACTCAGTGGCGAGCATAGTGCTGACTCGGTCAAAGGTCTCCATCAACTCAGCGTTGGGTGTGATGCTAAGGAAGGTGTTGATGGTCTGAAGAATAGGACCTCGGCTTTGAGGAAGAGTTTGCGTGTAGACGTTGAAGAGAACTGCGAGCATGTTGCCTGCAAAGTTGGAAAGGTACTCGAGGTTCTTCTTGGCATCAGCGCGGCTGACTCGGCTCTGGAGAACGAGATCCTCCTCCTGGTCCTCAATATTGGCAATAGCTTGGTTGGACTCGATCAGAGTCTTGAGCGCCCTGCAAACATCCAGTCGCAGCTCAACTTGCTTGTACAGGAGGTTAGCCAAGACCTCGGCGAAGCCCTGGTCGAAAGCCTCGGTAAGATCCAGAGGAAGATCGCAGTAGCCGGGAAGAGTAGACCAGATCTGCTGGACAACTGTTTCGTAAATCTTGACCTCCATTGTCTTCTCAGCCTGGCCATGATCCAGAACCCTTTGAAACATGACCTCACTGAGGGGAACCATCTCACTCTTAAAGTGAGCTAGATTTGTGTTGCTAGTGTAATCTCGTAGAATAGGGAACATCCAAGCACGGCCTGGCTGGCCCTTTGCTGGCTTTGCGAGGTTGAGAGGGAGAATTGAGAGAACAGCTTCAGGGCCCATTGCTCGAATAGCTTTTCCGATAACCTCGTCGGCCTCCTTCTTGTTGCGGAACGAACCATTCTCTCGGATCTCACCAATAGTCTTGGTGACGTTCATCATGATAGGATAAGACCTCCATCTCAAAGTGTCGAACATGGCTCCCAAAACGTTGAAGGTCTGGAGCCAGGCAGCCTGGAACTGGACAGTCAAAAGAGACTCTGCTGACTTGGCCAGCTTCTCGAGAACCTTCTCGTCGAAAATTGAAGGCTCAAGGATAACATTTTGAGGGATACAGTTGGCCATGAAAGACACTAGACATTCTGAGGCGGAAATTCGAATATTCTCGGAGGGAGCCTCGAGGAACTGGGCGACCATATCGAACAGTTGAGGGAGGTTCTGGAAGGTCTCCTCAGGCTCGACCTGGGCGGAAACATCGTATCCTCGGGACAGAATGGCGAGCCACGGGGGAACAAGCTGGGTGTCGTTGGCAGCTGGTCGCAATTCGGAGATAATTTCCATAAGTCGTGGGAGCTTGGCTGATGAGACCTCATCTGTCATGCCCTCGAAGATCATCTCAAAAATTTCGAAAGACGCCATGGTCATGTACTCGTTTCCGCTCTTTGCGATGCCCAAGAGGAGTTCGCACAGAGACTCGATCTTCTTGCTGGGCCAGCCACCACTGGCAGCCGCAACAGTCTTGACCAGTTGAAGAGCGTGGATCATAGCAGGGTCATGGCTAATATCGGCCTTCTTTCCCTTGCGCGCCTGCGCAATCTTGCCGGCGAGATCCTCGAGGTTCTTGGTAGCAGTCTGGGCGCACATGTCGGCAGCAGGGTGATCCAGGGAGGGGCTCGGAGGCGGGTTTCGAAGAACGGCCTTCAGAGCGTCTTGCGACCTCTTTCGCACCTTTGGTCGGTGGTCAACAGACATGTTCAAGAGTCCAGCAACAGCTCGTCGAGGACCGATTTGGGAGACAGAAAGCTCCCAAGAAGCAGCATCCTGGGCCAGAAGAAGAGATTCGAGACATCCTATGGACGATCGCAACAACGGGGCTTCGGCATCCTGCAACAAAAGTACGGGGGCGAGAAGAGTAAGAATCTGTGTAAACTTGGATCGGAGGAGAGGTTGTGGGGCATAAGGCGTAACGACGTCGAGAAGGTAGACGACGGGAGTCGCCAATTCTGGATTCACGGTGTCATTGCTGTTCGCCTGCTGAAGAAGGGCGAGAAGAGCGGCAAAGTATCCTGTTGGCGTAGGGGCCGTGTTCTGTTCCTTGAGAGTCGACTCGACGGCCTGAAGTACAACGACAGTCTACAAGCAAAAGTTGTCAGTGTGCGACTCAAGATTGAAGACGCTGGAGATGACAAAGTAAAGTGAAACATACCCTCTTCTGACTCTGAAGTCCAGGGGACTTGATCTTGTCCAGCTTTTCAGCCAGAGAAGGGGTCGCCATCTTGATTCTGAGCAATTCAATGCGCAACCACCAACTGGATTAATCGTTCGGTGAAAAGAGACCCCAGCCAAAAATTCCCAAATTTTTACTTGCTTATCGCACCCCGCTGAACCGATAAGGATTTGATGTGGACTTTCTCGGCGGAAGAAGCTAAGCCACATCTGTCATCCTCCTCGTTATGAGGATGTGGCGTCAGCTTACCGCTGTATCCGAGCGCCTACGTACTGGGCTGTAGCTGTGCCCCTCGGAGCTGACCTTGGGTAAGGTGTTAGCAGCTCGCGCCTCTCGTTACTCAATCGCGAATACGTCTGTAGCCTCGATTTCTCTTCCGCCTTGAGAGAAACATCATGGCCTTCCTCATTCTTGTCATAGGAGACCTCCATATCCCGGATCGGGCGCTCGACATTCCCGCCAAGGTACGCGCGGTGCTTCCAAGGTCGCGCGCATCGCTAACAGCGTCTCTGTATCTGTAGTTCAAGAAGCTCCTCTCTCCCGGAAAGATCAGCCAGACGCTTTGCCTCGGAAACTTGACCGATAAGCACACGTACGAGTACTTGCGATCCGTCTCCCCCGATCTGAAGATCGTGAAAGGCCGCTATGACGTCGAGGCCACTTCCCTGCCATTGACGCAGGTTGTCACCCACGGGAGCCTTCGTATTGGATTCCTGGAGGGCTTCACACTTGTCTCTAATGAGCCCGACCTTCTTCTGGCTGAGGCGAACAAATTGGATGTGGATGTTCTGTGCTGGGGTGGCACTCACCGCTTTGATGCCTTCGAGTATATGG